TCTATGTGGAAGACAGTTGATTTTCTATGCCGTGCCCTCCACCATGTAATAAAGGAGGAGCAGAGCCCCCGAGCCAGTAAAGGCTGCTGTTGTCACAGAAGATGCAGCAACTTTTTCTGTCATCCTGGTACAAAAGGACAGACAACCCAAAGGAAAGGCTCAGTCATTGAACAACTTCTAGTGGATGCCTTCATCCAAAGAGGATAGTAAGAGTCCAGAGGGAGACTAAAAAATGAGAAATAATTTATTTGGAAAAGTAACTGATCGAATGGAGAAGGTGCTCATTTTATATAGGTAAGCAGTACAAAAGCAGACATAGGCCAATCTAACAGATAAGATGGCGTTGTTTAAAGGAAGATTACAATTTGCACAGCCCCACCAGTTGCCCAAATGCTTCTTTGCGCAAATTAGAAAAAGCTGCCCTTTCTGTGTGACATTTTTACTATCGCTCTCTGGAAAATTTGTTTTATAAATAAACAAAGAAACGTCTGCTGTCTGTGAACGGGAATGGCCCACCTATCGCTGTGCAACATACGGACTGCACAACAGGACATGGCAGCCCGGAATTGGAAGAACTTTTCTTCAGATTTATACTATTAGATATACATTATAAAAACATCAGGAAAACATTTTTTCAGAAAATACTTTTTACCACTCAATGATTTACCACTCGAACGTATTAGTTATTTTCAATTTTTCCAAGTTCCCACCTAGTTCTTACCGATATGCACATGTATTTTTTAAATTATTGTAATGGTAATTAGCGTGCAATTTTCTACTCTGATTTTTCCACTTAAAATAATAGAAATAATATTTTCTCACAATGCTATATTGTCTTTCTTTTAATGACTGATTACACAATTTTGTATCAAGTGAGCATATCACAATGAATTCAACCACAGTTGGAAATTTGAGGAAATTTAATCAATATGCTATGATTGGTAATAGTCTACGCATAAGAGCAAAGTTACACTAAAACTTTTAGAGAAAGGAGCTATTTAGATAACATATACACGTAAAATAATGAACAATCTTCCAAAAAATCACACCAGGATGAGTATCTTATTGGAATATGGCTAATAAAGAGCTGAATTTGTATCTGGATATTTTTTGTCTGAGGATTGTATTTCCCCATTTGCATTTATACTGTCAGGAACCATTTCAGGATTACAAACTCCGGAGGTGCATTCCACATAAACACAGGGCAGCGGGACGCACTGCGGGGGAACAGCGGGATGCAGGGGGCGGCGTGTGGGTTTTGGAAAGAAATGGACTTGGACTGCTGTGTTTTGAAATGTTATGTTCTACAGGAATTCCTGCACAAGAATGCTCATCACAGCTTTATTTTTAACAGCCAAAGCCAAACTGCCCAGGTGCCCATCAACAGGAAAGTAGATAAATAAACTGTGGCATGTTCACCCATGGCATACTATTCAGCAATACACAGAATGAACTACTGATACACACAAAGGCATGCATGAATCTCAAAATTATGCTTGATGAAAGAAGCTTTCCACCAAAGAACATACTCCATGATTCCATCATGTGAAGAGCTGGACCAGGAAAGCTAACCCAGAATACAGCCAGAGCATTGGTTGCTTCAGAGGTTGAGATGGGAATCTACTAAGAAGAGACATGAAGGAACTTTCTGGGAGGATGGTCACGTTCTGTAAGTTGGTAGGAGTTTGGATTGTACATACGTATGTGCTTTTCTGAATTCGTATGATGGCACCCTTAGGAGTTGTGCACTTCGTTGTATGTAAAATGTCTCAAAGAAGAAAAGAACCTAAACAAATATTGAACTCTAGTTAATGATACACATACTGAAGTATTTCAACTTACTGTGAAACGCATAAAACCCAAGATGGATCAATGGCTGGGTAGAGGGTTGACATAGAGAGAGAGATAGGTGGCAGAGCGAGCACAGGAGCACGTTGACTATGGAATCTAGGTTCTCCTGGATGATTGAAGACGTTCATGATAAAACACTGCAAAGTGTGTTTTAATCTGGGACACATTTCATCAACTTCTCAGTTTCAATTTCTGCAAAATGGAGGTAATAGTATTTACTTCACAAAGTTGTTATAAAGTTTAAGAAACATTGCCCCCAAAACAGACCTGGTACATAGTAGATGTCCATGTGCCCTGTGACATTGCGTGCCTTCTCTTTCATCCTCTTACCTGTCTTGTCAATTTATAAGCCACAATATGTATTTTTGGATTTGATAGTGGTGCCTGCCTTTGGGCATGTGGTACAGAGTGGTATGTAGTGAAATTGTTGGGGTTATGGGAATGAACTGTCTGTCTGCTGTCTGCTAGTTGTATGTTCCCTGAGTGAAGGAATATCTTTCAATGATGGTAGTGGCTTAAACTCCATGGAGGAGGGGCAGTCTGTGGTGATTCTTGCCCTAAAGAGACTAACAGAATGGAAAAGGGAAGGATAAATCCTCATTAGGCAATCCTCATATGGATTTTGATATGAAAAAACTAAATCACTCTTCAGCTCATCAAAAGCTCCGTTTGTGAGCACTCATTAATTTAACAAATATTCAGGGTCTACTGCATGTCTAGGAGCTGGGGATACAGAGATGGGCGAACCTAGATGGATGGAGATACCTGTCTTCTGGGAGTGTACATTCTAGGAATGCTAAAGTCCAGTGGATTTACAGGAATCAGCCAGGTATTTAGAATTTACTCTGTGCCAGGCAGTTGGAAGACCATTATGGACCAAACAGACGTGGGCCACACTCTCATGGAGCTTACTGTCTAGCACAATAGGCAGCTTTAATCAAATCACTGCTTAGTGTGACTATTCTAAGTAGATTATAAGTGTGCAAAATATTGTGAAGGAGGGGGACCAGGTTCTTAAGGAAATTTAGGCAGGAGAATATTGCCCTGTAGCCTGAGTGAAAAGAATTTACCCCCTAAACTTTTCTCTGAGTTATGAGAGTAAGGTGAGCACAGAACAGAGATTGGCATAGCCAGTGGCCCACGTTCAACAACAGAATGAGGAACAGAATGAGGTGCACCAGGAGGCTATGTGGTCAGTCTCATTGTTTGCTTTGTCCTGCCAGTTTCCCATCGCTCTATGCCTGAGGAGTCTCTGTATGGTCAGGCTACAGAGAGCAAAGGGAGAATTATTAAATTGCTTTTAGCCATTGTAAGGAATCCTGGAGTTAGGTTTATCTTCTTCCTAGTCAAAGACTACAGCAAACTCCCCAACTGTTGCATGGTGCCAAGATGCTGCTGGAGACACAGGGCCTGGGATCAACTACACAAAGCAATTATACCACCGACCCACTGCAAGAATGTGTTCTCCAACTGAGGTATTGGCTCTGAGCAGAAAGAAATAGAATCCAAGAGAATATGGAGAGCTGATGAGAAGTATGTGTGTCACACAAAAACGGCTGGTCCTGCAATCGTCACACATCCTGGGAACAAAAAAACCCTGAAGCATTACAGCCCCGCAGATTCCTCAGTGGGGACACGCTGGTCTGCGGGGTTCTGAACGCCTCAACTCTGAGTCAGCACGCAGCTGGGCAATGCTTAGAGAATTTCCACTCCCCAGCAGTGTCTGCAGACATACAACAGGTGCATAATAAACACCTGCTGAATTATTACAGTTTTGTTCCCATTTGCTACCTGATTCCCTGGAGGATAAGAAAAACATAGAAATACCTACTGATGAGCAAAGGAAATGTACAAATGATGAGTTAGTTCAGAGCCGTGTTATGATCCAGCCAAAATGCCAAAGGTGAGTCCTGTGTGGTTCAGCTTTGCCTGTATGAGCACAGATTTGCTTCTCTGTCCAGAGGGATGTCTAGGATGAAAAGCCATATTTCAGGGCATCTTCTTAAGGCCAAGAAGGGATGAAAGTGAAGAAAGCCAAGAAAATCAGGGAAGGACAAACCTGGGAAGTCAGGACAGAGGAGATTCTGGCCTTACACCGCCTGGCTCCAGTCTGCGCTTCGCCGCTGACCAGCTGTGAGACTAGGCAACTTGCTCAGCCCCACGTCCCCTCCTGTGACGTGAGCATGTGCCTGACAAGTTTTCTCAAAAGAATCTTTGGAGTTCACACCCTTTGCACAATTTCTGGCACATAACAAATGCTCCTGAAATTTTAGTTTCCACTCCTAATGGTTTTCTAAAATGATCCCATTTCCTAAGATTTTTGAATAAATATCATTTGCTGAATACATAACTAAAGATAAAGTGTCATAACTCTGTAAGACCTTTTGTATAAATATACTCACAAATCAGAAAAAAGAACTTCCCCCACGTACCCTGAATTTAGTTCAGATTACCTGAACCCCACACCCACACAATGGGCCCGTTAGTCTGGCCTCCCCAGGCTGGAAACACCTCCTCTTACCATCAGGCTGTCACACAACCTGACAGAAGGTCCTCTCTTCAAGACAACTAGGCATAAATAAATTGGATTACTTTGCTATAATTATATAAATAAATATAAATAAACAAATAAGTATGTATACACCCACAGGGCATCCAAAGCCCCAGGAATCTCTGCATCCCGAGTTTGCAGGTACGTGGCCTCAGGCCCGGATCCATCGGACAGGCCTCGGAGACAGAGAGCCACAAGGCATTCACCTCCAGTAAAATCTGGTGGAAACAACAGAGATGTTTTATGCTCTGTTTGAGGTGGTAAGTGTCATGACTCTTGGAATAAGAGCCTTGCTGAGCACTTGACACAGTTTTCCTTCTGGTACATCTTTGCGTAAACTGTTCCTCTGGCTGCAAGATTGCCGTCCGTGGGGACTCTGGGCCCTCCCTGTCAGTGTGCGTTTGAGTCGGTGTGTTTTCCTTCTCTGCCTCTTTTGAAAGGTGCAAGAATTCAAGAGCTGCCCCCAGCTAGTGGCCCAACCCTGTGTCAGAGCTGCCGGTCCCAAGCCCATAACCCGGAGCACGCTTCCAGCTCCGCATCTGAGGCAACAACAGTCCTCGGAGGCACGGCCCTCCCACCGGCTGTGATAGGCTGCTTGGAATAGCAACAGCCTGTGTCACCGAAAAGGGCAAAGCCTTCGGAAATAGAAACAAAGTTGGTCACAAATCACGCTGGCTTTGCCCGAAGTTTTTTTTCACCCTTCTTTAGCATGCGACCATGGGGAAAGTGACCACTCCTGCCCATGGAGGCGGCCGGGGTGGCTCGGTGCCCAGGGAACGGCTGTAACTTCTGCGTGACCATGGTACCTGTTGAAAACACGGAGGGCCCCAGTCTGCTGAACCTGAAGGGGAGAGCGGCGGAGACGGATGGCAGCGACAGAGCCAGCGGCCGGCATCCTCCCTGGGCGAGAGGTAAAACGAGTCAGCCGGGCTCTGGTGACCGGCCAGGGGAGTGAGCAGTTCTCTCTCGAGTCTCACTCGGGTGTGTGTGTGAGTGTGTGTGTGTGTGTGTGTACACATGAACCTGCTAGGTGCGTGGAGAAAAGGGGACAGGATCTGGTGGGAGGAGTGACAAGGAGCTATAATGTGAAGATTGAAGTCCCACTGCTGACAAGCTGGGTGGCACTGATCGTGTTGACAATATAATGTATAAATCTTTTTCGTTTTGGGAAGATTGACTGGCAAGATAGTCACATGTGTAAACACATACCTGCACACCCCCATATGCAGACTTTTTCTTTTATTGTCACAAATGGACAATCTGTAAAAAGTGGACATTATAGCCACTATTTTTTAAATCAGCATTTTAGGTAGGTTTCATGAAATTAACACTTATATAATCAATGACCACAACCTTCTTTTGAAGTTCCCAGTATCTGTTTGGAATGAATTTGAGCATTATTCGAAGGCTAAAACCTCAGCTTCATCGCTCCTGCCTTCTTTGAAACCGGCCTTTCAAACGGAGGTTTGTTCAATACTTTGCCTCTGGAGGTGAAATTTGGAACACTTTTAATTCATTTCTTCTCCAAACCAAACGCTGTTCTTCACCTCCACATTGACAGTTCCCACAAACACCCTACACACTGTCAGCTGCCTCTGCCTATTCATTTAGTCTGTTCTCAATAGCATAGAAATGAACCAGAGCATGAAATGAAATCGAACATAAATAATCCTCTCCTTCTTGCTGCTTTCCTCCACTCCACTCCCCGAGTCATATAACATGACCCCAGGCCATATACTGGAATGTAGGGGCCGGCCAGTTGGTGCAGTGGTTAAGTTCGCATGTTCCATATACATATACACTCCAGCACTACAGAAGGCATTTCCCTCTCCCGTTGGGATGGATCCAGTATAGACTCGTGTTGGCCTCGTGGGTTCATCTGATCTTGGGCCTGAATCCACGACCCCTCTCTTGGGGGCATGGGGGCGCCCCCTCGGGAAGTGAGGAGTGGTCACTCATCCCTGCTCAGCCTTCTCTTGCTTTCCCACTTCTGGTCAAGACTGAGCATGTGGGTCATCCTTCAGCATGGCCTCGGCCCCTCTTTCGCACAGCTGCCCCTTCTCTAAGAGAGCTCTCTGGCCTTTAAGTCCAAGAGGAGGGGAGGGAAATTTGTATTTGGGGGGCAAGGGAGAGGAGGCAAAGTTCTTCCTCTGAATTCCTGCAAGATTGAACTGTGGGGTCAGCTGAGGTGGTGATGTCAACAAAAGTGTTCACTAAATAGAGGCAGTGACAATGTCACAAAGAAGCAGGAAAGACAGTGTCCTGGAAGGGTCTCCATGGTAACAATTAAAAATTCGCTATTTAATTTCAATATGGCCTTGAAAGCACAGTGTACTCTTTGTAGGTTAAATTACATGAGTTCATAGTTATCCCGAAGGAGAGTCACATGTACTTAAGTTTGTAAAGGTTGACTGTATGCACATAATTCAATTTAAAGTGCAACTGTTTCTGTAAAGAAATGATAAATGAATAAATACCATATCTTTTAGATGAGACAAATACCAAATAAATACCATATCTTTATTATATTGAAGAGGATGCCAAAATGTTTCCATAAAATCTTAAATGAATACAGTTTTGATTTGTGCTATATAGGGTAGATCTTTAGATGAACACAAACCTTTTGTGTGTGTGTGTGTGTGAGGAAGACTGGCCCTGAGCTAACATCTGTGCCAGTCTTCCTCTACTTAACGTGGGATGCCGCCTCAGCGTGGCTGGACGAGTGGTGCTAGGTCCATATCCAGAATCTGAACCTGCAAACCCCAAGCCGCCGAAATGGAGTGCACACACTTAACCTCTACACCACTGGGCTGGCCCCAAATACAAACTTTTTAGTATAACTTTTGTAAATTTTCCTAAATTGTCTTAAGCATCTCATGGTACCTAAAGGCAGTTATATGTATCTCTATGTATATAATGAATGCATAGTGCAGACTCACTTTATAGTTTTAACAAGTTACTTAACCTCTGCTATCAGGATTCTGTTTTATGAAGATGTTGAGGTTTAATGAAATAATATTCGTCAAATACTCCTTTCAACTTCTTTACATTTTAAACTTCTATAGTTTCATCCAGGAAATTCAGGGTATTTAAAATATGCTCAATAATTACCATAGTATTCCTGCACTTGAAGGTAGCAAGTTTTTCTATATATTTCCATATAAGAATTTTCTACATTCCTAGGTGGGAATTAAAGCATAAAAAAGAAAGATTTCTACAACCCAGGGTAAGGGAATTCAATCCCATGAGATTTACTGGGGGGTGCTGTGTTGCACCCCCCATGTTATGATGCACAATGAAAAGTCGCGACAGGTCTTCCTCCAAAAACCCCTCTTACACTGGGCAGAATGCTTTGTTCCAATGTCTAGAGGCTAACGAGCGTAAATTCATTTTCAGGAAGCCATGACTCAAAGTGAGTGCATTTTTAGTAAATTTTTCAGTGTTCATGGACATGTTATACTTGACGTTACAGGTCAGAGTTGAGCTCAGTTTGAAAGCCTAGTACCTAGAGCTGATGACAGATACAGGTGAAGTGAGAAACACGGATGCTGGAGCATCTCACACGAGGAGAACAGGAGGCCAGAGGACGTGTGGTCGGCTCCACGGCTCCACTTGGCGCAGTGGCTGGTGCAAGCGACCCTGGTGGCCCCAGGCCGAGGGGCCCACGCCTCCTCTTCACGTCAGGCGCTGGGGCTCCCCAGCTTCTCCCTTCATGATTCCAATGACTGGCTGGGGGAGGGTTTCCGTAAGCCCACCTCACCCCACCAGCACTGGGTTTTCCTCGGATCCGCCCGCCCTAAAGGTCGGAAACCAAGGACAATATTCACTGTATGAGGGCAGGTTCTCAGCACTGCAGATGCAGCTGCTGAATGCTCTGGGACCCCCAGGTCACTAGGACTGCACTCAGTGACCCAGCGGAAAGGGCCACACTTCGTCCCTAAGACCCTTCTAAATCTGAGATACCACGGTCTGAGGCTAAAGACACGCCACTTCTGCAAACCAGACAAATCCCTGCGGCAGTGGTTCTCAAATGTGTTTGAAGCTGTGAACTTCGTCCAAGTGGACGCCGAGCGGGTGGTCAGTCCAGGTCCCCACGGCCCGCCCTAGTAGAAAGAGGGGAGTTGGAGTGTAAGAGAACTGTGGCCTGGCCGCCCCCTGCTCCCTCCTGGCCCCGTAGCCCTGAGCAGGCCCCTGGATCCTGGCGTCTCACGGAGCAAGCCCGCAGGTCCGCCCCTACTCTGATGAGGCAGGCCGCGGGGTTTTTTTTTTTGTTGGGGTCTATCCCCCCGAGGAGAAATCTACTTGTAAGAGAGACTGAGGAAACTTTGGGAACAAACTTACCCCTGGGACAGAGAAAGTCAGGCCGACCAGCTTGAGCTGATAACAGAGCTTTGCTTGTGAGACGAGTGATTCCAACACAGACCAGTCACTGTGGGAAGCCCCAGACCTTGGCCTTGCCCATTTTTCCAGGCTTTTCATATACTAAAAACGTCACAAAAATTTCGTGCTTTTAAAAACATGTGTATTTAACAAATTGATGACTGATAACAACCAAAACTGGTTGTGCGTGGCTTGATGCTTCCAAGGAAATGACAGGGGTTACAGACATGTGAATTTATGCGGGACTGTAGACTCCTCTGTGTAGAAATAAGACCAGATGTAAAGATAAGTACCTGCGCTCTTACTTGCATCGGCTTATCTCTGTGACGCACATTTTACCTCCCTGGGAAATGGCATCTGAAGTCTGCACTTGAGGCTTCTGGTGACTGCCAGCCTGGGCAATGGCTTCTGCCGGATCTGGGAAAGGAGAGGCTCTGAACGACACGCCGGCCCTCAGCAGAGCCGTTGTTCCCCTTTAAGGCCTTGTTCTCACCTAGCGGGGCATAGAAGTTGTCACTTGCTGCAGCAGACAGGGACAAGCCAGGCCGAGGAGCAGTGGACCCGGAGGGACTGAAATGAGCCGGCAGCCACCAGCGCGCCCGAACTGGTTCTGCAGCCGGTGTCAACTCTGATAAGTCACTGCCCCCGTCTCAGTGGTTACATATTTTAAACGTCGCCCTCCTCCCTGGTAAGATGGCCAGCTGAGATCCCAGGAGCACGCCTGGTGGCAGCTCGCAGGACCGGAGGCGAGCCCCTCAGGTGCACCCCGTGTGAATTCTCACGGGGTGCTCTGTGGTGGTCTAGGTCTTAGGACGCTGGTGAGAACAGCACTCCAAGACGGCGAGGCCACCCTGGAGTCGCTGAGGAAGCTCCCACGGACACGTGTGTATCGGAGGTGAGCCGGCCGATGCTACAATGCAATTTCAGTGGCTGCAGCTGTGTGGGATTCTGTTTCTCCTGCATGAGTACTTAGTTCTCGAATCGGGTTTGGTAGGTGGCGTTTTCTCAGGAGGACGGCCTGAAGTTCTACTTAGCCTGCGGGCTTAGAAAGTTCCCAGAGCCCGGAGCAGCCCTCCGCTTGGGCTCTGAGAGTGAAGCTGCTGTTTACTCAGCTTGTACGAGCGAGAACTGGTTTTATAAGATTCTTAAGTTGGACGCAACAGGGCTTTCCTAGTTCAGTTTTTTCTCATGAACAGCCTTCCCGAAAGGATGAGCTACTGAGCAAAATAAGGCATGGAAAACCATGTCAAAGGACACCAAGTGGTGGTAGCGAGAAAGGGGGACAGCTGGGATGGACGTCTTCCCAAGGGGCTATTTGACCAAATACCAAATAAGGATGATTTCTCATCCCATCTTCCCTCCAAAAGTACCCAGCCTCAGTTAAAGACACAGCACCTGAAATCCCCCCAAATACTTCCCAGCTGAAACTTTGAGTCAAATATATTACCTTTATAGTAAATCATAAGTTTAGATGGGTTTTTTCTGTTCGATTTTGTTTTGTTTTGGCTCATGGGTATCATTTTCCTCCCTA